GGGTTTTGGGCCGGGTGATCCAAAGCCTTCCGAGCTCTTAACTCAACCTACATGGTGACAACAAAAAAAACCAAACACTCTGCCCTTCTTCCTTTCTCTCTCATGAATACTCTTTTTTCTCTGCAACAAAGAAAATCAATCTGGCTAATCGCTTCGCAACTCGCGCATTAACATCATGTTAGTTGCTCACGCTAAGCTTTCATCTCCTCCTTCCAGATTTCATCATCTCGCGGCGATGAAAGCTCATCAAACCACAGCCTTAGGCCGGCAGTAGCGGAAATGTCATTCTTCACAAATACAAGTACAATGATTCGAATCGAAATACGGTTCCACAATGCCACAATGATTTCTGCGAGTTATTAGGCAAGAATTGCGTACCTTCAAAGATTTCGACGCCGAGACTCGACGACAGCTTATGATGTCTGATTGTGTATTTTTTTTGTCTGGAATGTTGTCGATATTGTTGTCTATTACGGTTTTGGAAAACAATGTCAATTGAGATTCTTACCTTCTTTAAATTGGAAATGTTTTGATATGCCTGTGACATGTTTGGAATATACAGCGCATGATTTTGACTTCCAAATTTCAATAAGTGTGTCTCACTGATTTGTGATTTCACACTGAAATTTTCTTGTCCTAATGAATTTTTGATGACCACTTTGAGTGCATTTGGACTGTGAGGTTTTAAAGCACCGTATGTTCTAGTGCCTACAACAGTAATTAATGCAATAAAAACAAATCATTATTATGGTGGTTGAGGTTTTGAATTTATGCTTTTGTTTCTATGATGCTGCAGGGTACTGATATTCCAAACGTCTTTGTGAAGAGTCCTTTATTGAGCCAATATTAAAGACGTGTTTGGAAAAACGGTTTCGGCAATATATCCACCTCAACAACTTCTAGAATATGTTCTGAATGTAAAGGACAGGTTTTAGCGTATGATTCCAAATTTGAACTTTGAGAGTTGAGAGAAACAAGACATTTTGTTGGATTCAACTCTTTTAATTTGAGACTCTTTGCATATTTTAAAAAAATTTGGAATTGGTTTGGACTTGTTACACTCCAAAGTTTTGAATCTTCATGACAATTGAATTAGAGCTCTCAACTTTTCAAATTAAATTGGGTGGAATATGAGTCTTGAATTGAATTTGGATAAACTTGTAACCATAGCATTTTGCACTTGAATTTGGACGGCTTTGATTTAAAGTCTTTGTAGCCTTTGATTGAACTTGTCTTTATGCGACATGCTTTTGAATCTCAAATACATTCCACAAACTTTTCTCTCAACTTTTGGTATGAGCAAAATACATGCTTTGATGAACAAAGGACTATATCTTGCAACTTGAATTGTTACGTTGAAATTTGAACTGGAATGCTATTTGCATCATGATGAATATTGTGCTTTGGAAACTTTGAATATCGTAAATCTTTCAATCGTTGTATTTTGCAAAAGAAATTTGAAACTCATAGAAATTGATCTTGAATTTGCAACTTGAATTTTATCTTTGAACAAACCATCCTCTTTGTTCCCCATTACAATATTAACATGTAAAACCTCTTTGTAACTTAGAAACTTGGACGACGATGAATAAAATTTGAATTTTTCATAATTTCAAATGAACTTATATGCCTTCACTTCTTGGATTTTCAATGTATTTTCGGGATTCAACCTTGTAGTTCTTCTTGAACCTTCTTAAAATTTTAACTTGAATTTGGTGCTCTCATGATGAACATCATCTGCAACCAATCTTGAATTGCTTGAGTTTAAATCATGATGCAAACTTCATGTAAATCCTCCTGAATTTTCTCATGAATCATTTTTACCAAAAAAATGCGTATAAGAAAATGAGACACATTGAATCATAATTCATCTAAAGCTTGAATCACGTCCTCTCTAAAATTTGAATGATAACTTAAAGACTTGAATCCTATGAACTTTAAATCTTGCATCATTTCAAAATGTATAGTTCACAAATTGCCAAAATCCGAATTCTTCTGCATAACAACTTATGATCCAACTTTACGAATAAAATCAAACTATGCCCTGTGAAAACCTTTGACAGTGAAGATATCACTTGTAATACAATATACTACAAAATTCCAACCAGCTCTCAAATCAAAATCCTTGAAACCAAAGGATAGGAAATCTTGGTTCTCCTTGGGAAAACTTCTGAGCAATCTTGGAGAGAAATATTAAATTTGTATTGACTACGAGACCGTAAGGATGAAGGCATATCCTTTTTATATCCAAAGGAATTCAACATAACTTGCAAAGGAAAAAAATCCTGATGAGCATACCCACAAAACCTTCATAATCTCTGAGTTTTCCTTAGCAGCAAACCTAACTTCACAAAACAAACAAAAACTAATAAGACAGTTAGCTCATGCATGAATGATAGACTTAAATGATATGCAAAGGGTCAAAGAATATAAGGGTAAATTTTGGGGTATAACAAACTCAATATTAAAGTCTGTAGCTTCTATTTTGTTTCTGCACAAAAATGCATTACATGTGTCAGCACATACGCATTTCAGGTCGGCACATGTAACTCAATATTAAAGCTTGTAGCTTTTGTTTTGTTTTGGTCGACACATACCTTCTGCAGGTCGGCACATACTGATAATTTCACCATTATGTGCCGGCATATACGTGTTTCAGGCTGGCACATCTACTATTTTAAATAAGGGTGTAGGTTCTGTTTCAGTTTGGTCGGCACATATATCATTTCAGATCGACACATGCTATTATTTTTTATAGTATGTTCCGGCACATCCAAAGTTCAGGCCGACACATGTTGTTTAAGTTGGCCTGTTCTGGTTTTTTTTTACTCCGAAAATCAACTCTTTGCCACCAATCTTCCAAAATTATAAATACATAATTCATGCTTCATTCCAAACTGGTGATACCATAAAATTAGCCTGCATTTGCTCATCATCTTCAAACTTCATCCTATGTCTACACACTGACAAATCACACATAATAATCTTTTGTTAGGGTGCCAGCTAGGTGAAGGCCTATTAAGGTCTAATTAGGTTCTTGTGTAGCCGAGATATTGGGTTGAGATTTACAGGGGTCTTCATCCAGAAAAAATGTGAATTTGTCCTCCAAGATCGAATGGAGATTTGGGGGTTTTCGTGCAAGACATTGAAGAGAGGATTGCGACGTTGTGAAAGCCTTTGGAGATAAAGAATGCAAATGATCATTTGGAGATAAATAATGTAAAGGAAGTAGCGGAGAACGGCGAATCAAATTGAAGTCGTGTGGAACAATCAGTGCAATTGATTGTGCGTGAAAGCTTTGGAGATAAAGAACGCAAATGAGTAGCAATATCGACAAGTCAACTGGCATCCATTGTTGTCTTTGTCTTACTCAAGATCAAAAAGAAGAAAAGGGGTTTAATCAACATCAGAACCGGTTGTGCTTGTATGGTTTCTCCTAACACTTTTCTTGTATATCAAGTTTTTGCATAGTAAGAAAGTATCTTAATTCCACATTGGAAATTAGGCGCAGATGTACCCACACGCGAGGACGAAAGTGGGGAACTGCGTGAATAAATCCTCATGTCGATCTCTCTCTTTTCTCTTTACTAGTTTTATTTTTCATTACACAATTTATCAAATAGCATTAAACGATCAATCGACTCGTAAGAATTTTTCTGTAACCTTTCTGTTTTAACTTGATTGTTGATTAGCTTATAATCACTTTTGATTATAAGTGGTTTTCATATCAACAACAACACAAAGGAAATTCTGAAAATTCGTTCGCCTACCAAGTATTTGATAAACTGCATAGTTCAATTTTTTTGCTCATTATCATGGAAATAACATTACTAAGTAATTAGTTTAAACGAGTAATAACGTGATACTCGAGTAAAGGTTGAATTAGATTATTGTGTTTGTCATTCCATACCTGGCTTTGCATATCCGAGTTTCCAATAACTAGGTTCGTATAGACGACTTTTATCAATCCATACCGAAACCTTCTGTGTGCTCTCTTTTTCTAACAACTTTAAAAACCTAAATTTTATTTGGTGATTTTGCCTTGGGTGTCTACTCACCCCCCTCCTTCTAGACAAGTCGTCATCGCCTAACAGTTTCAAGCTTACTAAGTCCTTAGGATTGAGGAGAGTGGAGATCGATGTGAATTCCATGTTGCTTATGAAAGCTATTGAGGAGGGAATTATCAGAAAGGTGGAGTGTTTTGGCCTTGATCATAGATATTCAGAGGCTTATGGAAGATCATGAAATTGCGCAAGTGGTTCATGCTTCTAGCGAAACGAATTTGTGTGCTGATATTTTAGCAAATAAAGGGTGTTATGAGAAGTAGTTTCGAGTCTATAACGAAGCTCCTAATTTTTTGAAGCTCCTCCTAAATTCTAACAAAGTTGGTGTTGGCATCTTTAGGGAGGTTTTTGGTAAGGGAATTTCTTAATACACCATATATGTTACTTACATACCACGCGAAAATACTAACATCTCTCCCAAATTTCAGAGATGTATCTCCGGATACACTCAATACACACACTTCATTCGTTTTTGAATCACACCCTAATTTTAAAAATAAATTTATTTCGAAAATGTATTTCTGAAAAAAATTTCAAAAACGCATTTTTAAAACCTACTAAACAAAAAAAAATAGAAACTAATGTCTAAACCTCCTCAATTTTTCTGCAAAAGTCACAGAAAATCAAAATCTCTATAATTAGATTTCTTAACATAAATAAAAATAGGCATATAAATTAGCTAGCATTCAATACTTGTATATATTTTATTTGACATCCTAAAAACTTATGTGTAAACCTCTTGCAAATGTAGACTTTGTACAATTGTCTTTCTTTGTTGGACTTTTTCTTTTTATAAAAAAAATGAACCTTCGATTCATTTAAAATCATATTGGTGGAGAGAGCTAGGCAAGTCTCTTCCCTTTCAGACTTCAAAACACGTTTACAATTACTGCTGACTTCTTTGCATAAAATCATAAGTCAAATTAAAGAAAAAGAATGACTGAAATTCAGGAGTTGCCGGAAGGATGCATCGCCGCCATACTGTCTCGTACTACTCCCGCTGACGCCGGCAGATTCTCCCTCCTTTCTAAGATGTTCCGTTCTGCGGCCGACTCCGATGCCGTCTGGAATCAATTTCTCCCTTCCGATTCCAATTTCAAAGATTCTGTTGATTCACAGTTTCCCTCACTTGCCAACGCTCCTACCAAAAAGGCTTTCTATCTCGCTCTCTCCGATCATCCCATCATCATCGAGAATGGTCACAAGGTATATTATTCTCGGTAACCTGTGAATATTAGGTTTATTATTATTGAATACTTATAAACTGAATTGATTTGTTGTGGAAAAATCTCTCAATTCTGGAAAGATAATGCTTATAACAATTGGATACCTTGAAATGCAGAGCGTTCAATTGGATAGAAAAAGTGGAAAATTTCGTTACATGCTTGCGGCTAGATCTCTCAATATTATTTGGAGTGATCATGATCATTATTGGAAATGGACTGATTTTCCTGATTCCAGGTTAACTTGCACTTAACTTCTTTTTCTTTTTTTTTTTTTTTGTTTTTTTGTTTTGTTTTTGTTTATGATGATACTTAACTTATAAGTATTCTGTTATTCACCATTCTGAACAGCAAGTGTATGTCTTTGAGGAAGACTAGTTAGTCTGATTGTGTTCATGATTGCTATGTCTACTATGTTCATTTCACTCAAGTTGTATTGAATTCACCATTTTCCCACATTCTTTCTGTAACCCGGTTTTGATTAATATGTGACAACCTACTAAGTAATATTCGGTTGTTTATTTCTCTCCAAAATGTTTTTATTTCTTAAACAAAAAGGGTAACTAGTAGAATACTGTTGTAATAGAAAATTTATAGAAAATGATTCAGAATGTGTCTTGGCAATGTAGTCCTTGTCTTGTTAGTCTATTGTAATAGCTCAGATATTTGAAGTGCACACCTGGCTAGGGTTACTTCATCCTTACACTTGACACTATCTGGCAATGTAGTCCTTGTCTTGTTATAGTCTACTATACCATTTTAGGGGGTCGGTGCGACGAAGCACTATCTAGGATTAACATCACAGACGCAGTTGTTTATATTGCTTATATCCACATTCAACATTTATCATGAGAAAGTGAGGCAGGTTGCAAAGGGATGTCCTTTATATGAGGGAGAATATGAATGTGAGATTTCCTATAACAGTGTGTGTATACTTTTGGGTTTCAGCTTGGTAACAACCTCCAAGTTTTAGTTAACAAACATGTAATGAATCAGTTTTGACTTTTCTCTTAGTTCCGATATTTTAAACTTTGCAACTTTGTACTACTTTTGGACAGGTTCCCTGAAGTCGCTGTGCTTCTTGATGTATGTTGGTTTGATATTCATGGTACGATAAACACCATTGCATTGTGCCCAAATACTGAGTATGCAGCTTATCTTGTGTTCAAGATGGTTGATTCCGTTGGTTTTCTGAACCGTCGCATAGAGTTATCAGTTTTTGTCGAAGGTGGACATAGTAGTACAAAAACTGTCTGTTTCGATCCTAATGTGAGACATAGGTCTCACAACAGAGTAGTAGGATTGCAATGTCCTAATGAGAGAAGTGATGGGTGGTTGGAGATTGAGATGGGTGAGTTCTTTAATTCAGGCATAGAGAATGAAGAAGTCCAGATGAAGGTTTTGGAGACGGGTGGTAATTGGAAGAGAGGTTTCATTGTTGAAGGAATAGAAGTTAGGCCTAAGTAACACAATATAGCAATGCAAGGTGTTTTGCATTTGTGGCAGAACAATGTTTGAAGATTTGAAGCCCAACTTTTCAACATAATATGTATTGTTGTTCCAAACTGTTTCTTTGTAAAGTATTTACGCAGGTTTATATTGTTTGTCGTGGTCAAATATATCGAGATATCTGTGTTGTGGATATCAGCTTCCTTCCCGGTGGGTTGATTGTTCCAACTATATAATATATTGTGATTATGTTACATTGTGATGGCAACTTTGCTATTTATTGATTATGAACCCTCAACAATGAACTTCAGGTGCTGAATTATTCCTTTTCCAGTTGTTTAAATTATTGTCTACTTAAGGAATTGGGTATATTTTAATTTTTTAATCCCTTTTGTTACTCATGCACAAGAACTAATGATTTGTCTGCAATAGAACTAATGATTTAATTAGAATTTAAATCGCTTGAAGAAGGTAACAAGGATCGGTGTTTTAATGGTATGAATGAATTATAATATAAATCTATGACCAAAATACTAAAAGGACTCAATTTAAATAATACAATTTGTTTTAGACTGAACGTATTTGTTACTAGATTTTAAAGCGATAGAATAACAATAGGTTTTTCATTCTCTGAATTAATCAAAATAAAAATATGATGAACTAAATAAATTATGGAGATTAAGGACTTGCTTGAATGACTTTTAATTATTAACTTTTAAAAACTATTTTGAAAAATAATTTTAGAAAACTGTATTGAAGAAATAAATAAAATAAAATATGTCTGATAATATTATTTTATAAAAACTTTTTTTTTTTCATTTATTATTTCAAAAGAGCAGAATTATTCAAATTACAATGGAGATTAAGGACTTGTTTGAATGAGTTTTGGTCATTAATTTTCAAAAATTATTTTGTAAATTAATTTTAAAAAACTGTGTTGAAGAAAAAATAAAATAAAATATGTTTGATAATATTATTTTATAAAAAAACTATTTTTTTCATTTATTATTTCAAAAGAGCACAATTAAGCAAAATAAAAATATAATAATTTAGATATATTATAGAGATTAAAGACTTGTTTGAATGAGTTTTGGTTATTAGTGTTTAAAAATTATTTTGTAAATCAATTTTAAAAAATTATATTAAAAAAAATAAAAACAAAACATGTTTAATAATATTCTGTTTTGAAAAATATTTTTCTTTCATTTATTATTTTAAAAGAGCAAAATTAATATTATTTTGATATTTGGGTTTTAATTTCTAAGGAATAGATATTTTTACAAATGAAGCCTATGAATTGGCATTCAATCAATGTTTAAAATTTGACCTTAAATTAGTGAGGGTATTGAGTTATTACTTCATTGATCGAACCATTGATTAATTGATTGAATCGCGTGATTAAATTAGATTAAATCGGATTATATGATAGAATAAATCGATCTCTATAACAAAACTACATAATTATTAAATCAGTCAAACTGAAAAACTTTGAAAATTTTGTCTCTAAAAAAATCACTTACAAAATTTCAAACTATCATAAGTTCACAAACTTATTCTTTAAATTCAAATTTTAAATACAGTCACCACACATAACTGCAATATTTAATAAGTTTAATTTTTTTTTTTTAAAATTGTTTTTAATAAGTTTTGAACAAAATTTATTTATATTATAACTTTATTTTTAAAACAAAACTTATCAAAATGACTTCGTTTTGTTTCAAAAGAAAACAAAGATTTAATTTGTGAGTTTTCAAAAATCTTCGGTTTGTTGGGTTTTAGTGATTTTGATTGGTTCTGAATCATTTCTACTAATTCAATCATTTATCCAATTTAACAATCAAATCAGATTAATGACTCATCTGATTCCATGTTCGACCAGTCTCATTGTTTGATCCGATCTTACAATTATTCGCATATCATATGCGCTTAAAATGTATCACGAGAGTATGTATCACTTTACAAGAATAAAGTACAGTCTAGAATAAAAAGAGAATTTCTTATTGTACCTTAAATATTTCTAGCGCACCGTGTGAATGTTCACATATATCTTTTGATTGCAGAGATACATCTTAGAATGCACCTTTTGCTCACTCAAATAAGGTCACTATTTAAGGCACCCCATATGTTGGGTTATTTTTATTCCGGAGATGCATCTCCGGAAAATTTTAAGAAAAACTTTAATTATTTAACACTTCAGTAGAAATTCTAGAGATGCATCTCCGGAATTATGGGGGGCATTTAAAATTTTTTTGTCACCTTTGCATGTCAGGTATTTCCGGAGATGTATCTCCAGAAATATCTTATATCACCTGTTGCAACTGCGAAAAACACCCGGCGGAAAAAACAGAAGAGTCGCCACCGAACGTTATTTATCCCAAAGAGAGGGAAAGGAAACGATCGAAGAAAACCTGAAGAACGGGAAAAGACGAGGTCATCACAACCAAATCTTGGATTCGGGAGTCGGTTACGCAAGAGGAAGGTATTAGCACCCCTCAACGGGATCCACGCTTGTTGTCTAATCAAAGGGTGTGTTTATCTATAAGCTACTGCTAAACGAAAACGAGAACAAAAGAAAAAAAAAAGAAAAAGACTCGATAGGACATTGTCGCCCTATGTCTACGTATTTCCTCGTGCAATGGGAAAGTCAGAGTCAACGTAGTTCGGGAAACTACGGGTGATGGGGAGAAGGTTGCTCGCCAAGACATCACTGTCTTGTGCCTACGTATCCTCATCTGATATGAGAAATCAGAGGAAACGTAGTTCGGGTAACAAAACCACAGGTTGTTTAAGCGTTTTTTATGAGTGACACTAAGTTCCCATTCCGGCAATTAGGGTTGATGCCTGTTTGTGGTAGAACAGAAAAGTAACATACTCTTTTCTAAAAATGAGTTTGAAACACAAATCCCAAAAGATAAAAGGTTTGAGTTTTATTTGTGAGTTTTAGTGAAGTGAATTAACTGAATTTGTGATTCACGTTGCACTAAAGACTATGACATAGGAGCGAATGCGTCGCATATCGCCCTAAGGGCATACGCTAAACACTCTAGACAAGAGAGGAGAAACCCATCACTCATCATTTCCCATGTGCTTAAGGCTCGTAGCGTACAATGTTCATCGTATTTATTAAATGAGTTAGACGGTGTTTTGAGATGAGAACAGAGATGCACGACAGGTCTAAGGGGAAACTCGGCTCTAACGTTGTCATGCTAAGTGGTCCTAAGGTCGGGATGCGAAAGGAGATTCTATCCTAATGTTAGCATGCAAAAGATGGACCTAAGGTTGAGGTTAAAAGGAACTAACCTAATGCTATCATGTATGGATTAAACTCCTAATGTCTATTTTACTCCAAATTTAATCAGAAATTAAATTGGAATAAGAACCCTAAGGGAGCATGTAAGGACAAAGCAAAAAAGTAAAGAAACAAGGTAAAAACAGCAGCTACAATAGCGCATCCTGCACAAAACAGCAATAAAATCCAGCACACAAGCAAGACAACCTATAACAACACATGTTTCAGCACAAAAGCAAGTGTAAAAGGCAGGCAGCACGCAAGCAAGGCAAAGACAGCATGCAAAGTTCAGAATAAGAACATTAGTGTAAAGCGGGGCAGCAAGCATGTGTGAATGCAATTAATCGAGAGTAAGCATCAATCATGAATAAATATCATGCAATTGTGAACATGTTTCCATAATCAAACATAATCGATCAACAACATTGCATCAACAAGAATCATCAAGATCATCATGCTTTTTCAAATCAAATTGAACGATCGACCGATCAAACAAACGTGCAACAAGAGGCATCGGAAGCAAACGCAAACATGCATCATAAATCCAGCAAGACAATCATCAATGGCAATCAATTAATCATGCTACAAGCAAATAAAGCAATGTGATCATTCATCAATCAAGCAACATGAACATGTTAAGCATTCAAACGGAAACCGGAAGTTACGCGTCAAAGACTCCAAATCAAACATTCAAGAATGATGAAATATGTCAAAAACAATCCACATAAATGCATCACATCAATCCATGAAGTTTACATGTGAAAAGGATACTAAACAAACAAGAAAAATGCCAAAACAAAACATTCTGCTCAGTGGTAACCGGTTACTCATATCAGGTAACCGGTTACCTGTTATAAAAACAGTTTGGAACGTGAAAATTTGTGAAGGGTAACTGGTTACCCAATATGTGGTAACCGGTTACCACTGAACCAAAAAACAGAATATCAACTTTTAAAATCAGTTTTCAGCATCCAACAACTTATCCAATCACTCATATAGACATGCTATCAATTAAGCACGAAATTAACATCAAGAATCAATGATCAAACATCATGTAAACATAATCAAACACTGAAATCACAAATCACCAAGATCCAAATCATCAAAATGGATCAAAAAGCAACAAAAGCCATAGATCTACACTGTAATTATTCAAATAAGCTCAAAATAGAATTAGATCTAAAATTACTAACCTTCAAAGCTGAGATTTGCTTTGGTAAGTGTTGATTCACTTGAAATTAACAGATCCAAGCTAGAAACCCAGAGAATCTTAAAGATCCAAGAGCTTCCTTATGGTAGAAATGAAGAACAAGCAAGATCAAGCAAAATTGACTCAAAAAAGTACTTCCAATCTAGCTTCCAAAATCAGATCCAAATCCAAACGAAAATTAAATGATGAATTAAAGATAATGGAGATGAATGATAGAGGTTTAGCTCTAGAATTCAAGGATTCCAATGAAGAATCAATGAATTCAAGTGGAAAGAGCTTTAATGGAGGTTTTAGGAGTGAAAAAGTTGAGAGAAAGTTGAGAGCAAATTCTCAAGAATGAAGGTGAAATCTGAAAATGAAGGTTATTGTGTGGTTTGGAGCAAATTCACTTAAATAAGCTCTAGGTTTGGAATTAAAAATGTGGTTTGGAATGTGGGTTAGTGTTTGGAATGGAAATTAGGAGTGGAATTAGGAATGGAGTGTTTGAAATTTGAAGGGAAATGGTGAAAATTGAAGCAA